TACTGGGTATATAACCTTAGACAAGTGCATTAGGTGGGGATGTGGGGTTCTCCAGAGAAACAGAACCAATAGGATGTGATATAGAGAAAGAGATTTATTTTAAGCAATCGGCTTATGTGATTGTGGAGGTTTGGCAAGTCCAAAATCTGATGGTGGAGGCTGGCAGGCTGCAGACACAGGAAAGAATTGCAGTTCAAGTTCAAAGGCAGTCTGTTAGTGAATTAGGAAGAGCTGATGCTGCAGATGGAGTCCAAAGGCGGGGTGCTGGCAGAATTTCTTCTTGTTCATGGCGAGGTCAGCCTTTTGTTCTCTTCAGTCTTTCAACTGATTGGATGAGGCCTCCCCAACAGTATGGAGGGCAGTCTGCTTTACTCAAAGTCCACTGATTTAAATACGAATCTCATCCAGAAACACCCTCAAAGAAACAACCAGAATAGTGTTTGACCAACTATCTGGGCCCTGTGGCCCAGCCAAGTTGACACATAAAGGTAACCATTACAGGAAGCTGTTCACCCTCTCAGTGCCTCAGTCAACCGCATCTGTGAAATGGAGATGATAAAAGAATCTATCCTACTGGACAAATCTGAAGACCGAATGAATAAGTGCATGTATTTAGAATAGTGCCTGCCCATAGCACTCTTGACTACTATTATTAATAATAATAATCATTATTATTAATTACTATTTTCACGGGCTTCAGCTATATGCTTCACTCTGATGAAAGAGCTAAGAAAATGGTTAAGCAGGACCACCAAGTGTAATGGGTGTTCAGTAGGGAACACCACTAACATGAAGAGAGTCCTCATACATGAGAATTCTTCTAGTGTAGAAGCTGGAGACTTGCCTACCGGCCTCTGCAGACTATATTGGCCAGTGCTTCCTTAGTAAGGAGCTATCTTCTTTCTTGTTGTTATTCCATGAATAAATTTTAATATATTCACGTTTCCCCATGAACTGTTTATTTACTGTTCATATTAATGCAATCTGATGAAAACATTTACATGACTGGAATCCTTTGCAATCTACTGGAGCATCTCTCCTGCTTTGCTTTTCCTTCATTTCTGGCGAGAAACTTCATTTTTGCTTTACATGTTTTTGAATTAACTGTTTTTGAATGAACTTCTCAGGAATGCAGCATCAGCATAAATCAAAAGGCTGAGGTAGAGTAGAATGATTAAGAATCTGGCTCAGGGTTAGCCAGAATTGGGTGTAAAGAAGCCCCAGCTTCTTCACAAAGGATTATTGTGGGGATCAAATGGGGAGTCTCAACACCGTTCTTGGCACAAGAAACACTCGGCAAACGGGAACTAGGAGGACTCCTTCCATTAGTAATTCTCTACGTTGTTGTTAAACTGTTCCTCCTTGTGCTGGGAGACGTAGCATCCTGGGACCTGAATGACTGTGTGGAAGGAGTCACCTAGCAGCCAGGATTAGCCCCATCAATCTATTACATATGCAGAGTAAACTCCTGTTTTCAATAATCTTTTAAATTTGGGGTTTCCTTATTATTGCACCTAGTTTGTTAGGTGCTATGCATCACCCTAACCACTATGGTCAGTTAATATTGGAAGAAGGCTACCAGTCATTCATGATGCTCTCTTCACCTCTACGGGCTGCAGAGGCCTTGAACTTCTGTAGAAAGTGGCTGCAATACAACAGCTTATTTACTCCTCCTATCCACTACCCAGTGACAATACCTCTCTTTTTATGAAAATGTCCTGCTTCCCCAGTTAGACAATACTGCAGATATTGACTTCAGGGTGCAAGAAATGTGATTTTATTTATTTTTTTTAAGATTTTATTTATTTATTTATTTGAGAGAGAGAGTGAGAGAGAGAGAGCATGAGAGGGGAAAGGGTCAGAGGGAGAAGCAGGCTCCCCTCTGAGCCAGGAGCCTGATGTGGGACTCGATCCCGGGACTCCAGGATCATGACCTGAGCCGAAGGCAGTCGCTTAACCAACTGAGCCACCCAGGCGCCCAAGAAATGTGACTTTTAAAATTTAATTTTGGGGTGCCGGGGCGGTTCAGTTGGTTAAGTGTCTGGCTCTTGATTTTGGCTGAGGTCATGATCTCAGGGTTGTAAGACTGAGCCCCGAGTCGGGCTCCATGCTGAACATGGAGTCTGCTTGAGATTTCCTCTCCATTTACCTCTGCCCCTCCCCCCGTTTGTGCTCTCTCTCAAGTAAATAAATCTTTAATAAAATAAAATAAAATGTATTTCTTGAGTTTCCATGCTACTGGCACAGCCCAATAGGAATTCTAGTTAGTTTGAGGTTTTCCTGATTTCTTTTGGAGTTGCATCTAAGCTCTGGGCTGTGGAGCTGGGTCTTCAATATCATCATCCACGCAGACATCCTCATTTCTGCTGGGTACTTCATTGTCAGTTGGTGTGTAGTTTTCTCTCATTCTTGACTGTAAGGCTGCCGGCCATTGGTCCCAGTCTCAGCATTTTCAGGCTGCTTATACGTATGTGAGAATAAAGAGGCTTGTGTGAGTGTCCAAGGTGTATAGACATCTGTCTGTGGGACAGTGCGTAGAAGAAGGGACTATAGACCAAAAAAAAATCAGTTACTATTTTAAAGATTTATTTATTTATTTGAGAGACAGAGATAGTGTTTGTATATGGGGGCAGGGGCAGAGGGAGTAGGTGAGAGAGAATCTCAAGCAGACTCCCCCTTGAGCACAGAGCCCATCACAGGGCTCCATCTCATGACCCTGCGATCATGACCTGAGCCTAAACCAAGAGTCAGATGCTTAACCGACTGAACCACCCAGGTGCTCCAGTTAATATTTTAATATCAAAAATATAATTCCACCCCAAAAAGAAAGGCCCGTGAGGATAGGAAATGTATCCTGACCATATTCTGGCACCCTATCCAGCAAATCAAATTTACCCCATTACATTTTTCACCGCCACCATTCAGTGATAGAGAATGACCAATGGGCCATAGAAACAGAAGGAGAAAAGGATCCCAATCTTTTTTGAAACCGTAACTTCAATAGGGAAAAGCACTGGTAGGAGCTGAATTCTGTGTCCCCACCCACCCCCCATGTCTAGTCCTGGTGGAATAACCAATACTACTTGTTTTCTTCTTGCCATAAAGAACTAGACAACCTCACGAAACATATGATACAATTACTTCAGACATTGGGCAGCAGGACTATAATCCCTAAGAGAAAGGGAACAAAGCAAGGTGCAAGAACTCCCAGGGAGCTATAAACTGAAAGTTTCTCAGCATCCATAGCTCTCTAGGAGACAACTGAGTGCCACCTAGTCAATGTGGAGAAACCTTGTTTTCTATGGCTACTGTAACAAATTGTTATAAATGTAGTGATTTAAAACAACCCAAGTTTATTATCTTACAATTCTGTAAGTCAGAAAACTGATACAGATCTCATTGGCTAAAATCAAAGTGTTGGCATGGTGCATTCCTTTCTAGAAGACCTAGGGAAGAATTCACATCTTTGTGTCTTTCACCTTGGTGAGGCCCCCCACTTTCCTTGATTCACGGCCCCCTTTTTCCATCTCCAAAGTCAACAACACTGAGCTGAATCCTCACCCTCTATCTCTCTGGTTCTCTCTTCTGCTTCCCTCTTTAGTTTTTATTCATTTATTTTTTTAAGATTTTATTTATTTATTTGAGAGAGAGAGAGAAACAAACAGCATGAGAGGGGAAAGGGTCAGAGGGAGAAGCAGGCTCCCCTCTGAGCCAGGAGCCTGATGTGGGACTCGATCCCAGGACTCCGGGATCATGACCTGAGCCGAAGGCAGTCGCTTAACCAACTGAGCCACCCAGGCGCCCTCCCTCATTAGTTTTTAAAAACTGTTGGATAAGCCAGTATCGTCTTCCTATTTCAAAGTCTGCTGATCAGTAACCTTAATTCCAGCTGCTATTTCAATTCCCCTTTGGCATGTATCCTAACATATTTCCAGGTTCCAGGGATTAAGATGTAGGCAATTCAGGAGACCTTTATTCAGCGTACTACAACCTCTAAGGCCTTTACTAAAGACCTCAGACGTTGTGCCATAGTTGTGGAGGTAAACTAGCTCTAAGGTAATGGGTACTCTACATCCAACCTAACAGAGCTGTAAAATAAGCTCAAAAGAATTAAGCTAATCCACAAGTACATTAATACTTGCCAAAACAAATTTCAAAACTCTTTAAAGAAAGACAACACAATCCAGACACAAAACAGTGTGATGTTCATAATTGCAACCAAAAGTTACTAGACATTCAAAGAAGCAGGAAGACATGAGTCACAACCAGAAGAAAAATTAATCAATAGGAACAGACCCAGAAATGACAGCAATAATAGAATTATCAAACAAGGACTTTAAAATAGTTCTCATAAATATGTTCAAGAGGAAATGACATGAGGAAAGAAATGCAAACTATTATAAAGAAATGAATAAAATTTCAGTGGAACCAAAGGAAATAAAAAAAAGTCAATGGGTAGGCATAACAAGAGATTGGACACTGCAGAAGAAAAGATCAGTGAACTTGAAGAAATAACAAAAGAAATACATGGAGAAAAAAAAAGTCTGAAAAAAATGAAAGAACTTTAGTGACCTGCGGGACAAGATCAAGTAGTCAAATATATATGAAAGGGGAGCCCTAGAAAAGGGAGAACAGAAAATCTATTAGAAGAAATAATGGCCAAAATGTCCCCAAATTTAATAACTAAAAACATAGGTCCAAGACACTCAATGAAGACCAAGCAGAAAAAATACAAATAAAAGCACATCACAATACATATAATCAAAATTGCTGAAAACCAGTGATGAAAAAGTTCTTTTTTTTTAAAATGAAACACAGCCAAATTTATTCAAATTCCCCAAAATTTATACTCAATATGTTAATTGTTCCTAAAATGTAGGTCACCCTTTATATAATGGTTTTATTATTTCATCTTTATTTTATAGTTTTTTCGTGCTCGCTTCGGCAGCACATATACTAAAATATTTTATAGTTTTTTCATCTTGTCTTCATACAGTTCTTCAGTAGAAGCCAGAGTCCTGAGTTGCCCAGTTAGGAGCTAATTTGGAATCAATCTTGGCATCCAGCCTTGCATTTCTAATCAAATTTACAATCCACCTTTCAGCTTCTTCTGGAGTCATGTTCAGTTTGTCTGCCAACATGTTAATGCTAATACACAGGTGGATGCGACAAAAAGTCTCATTTATGAAGAGACGAGCGTTTTCAATGAAATCCTCAAGACAAGCCACCAAGAAGAAGTCATTCACAAGTACTGATTCACAGTCCCTCAGCTTTTTCTGAGCCCCATCAAAGTCAGAGTTAACATATAAGCATTCAACAAATTCTGTAATTGGGTCTTTATATGTGTAAAACTCCTGTTGAATAATTTCAACAAGATCTTTTAGCACCTGTCGGCGTTTCTGAACATCTCTGTTATGACGGCTGTAGTCAAATAGCGCAGAATATGTGGATACATTGTCTGAATTGCATTAAGATACTGTGGCTGGTAAAGGAAGAGATCAATTATGTTATCACGCCCTTTGGAGTGGCTGAAGAAAATGAACAGAGACCAATGGATGAGCCATGTTCGCTGCTGAAGAGACTGAAGTGGAGAACTCACAGAATTATTATCTATGATCTCTTTTAACCATGTAAGGTCTTCCATAGCTGCATCCCAATTCTGCATTAAGATTTCAGAGGCCAATTTTCCCCAGAGTGAACTCAAAGCATTTTTATCTGTTGCTGGAACCAACACTCTAAAGAAGTAAAGATATTCTGCGGCTCCAGAGTAATTCCCACATTCATATTGAAATTTCACATACCTGTAGAGTGTATCTAAATATTCCTGCCTAAAACCATGCTTGTCCGCCAGGTAGTCAAACAGCATCCAACCATCTCTGGTTGACTGCATCTGCCTTGTAGTTTCTGGATCTTCAAACATCTTCACAATTGGTTCTGTTTCTGCCTGAAGCTGTTTCAGTTGTGCAACAACTGTGGTTCTTTTTTCTCTCAAAGCATGTGGCATATCATCAGAATAAAGGTTTTTGTATACATCTATAGCAAAGTCTACCATGTTGGTATCACTAAGGAGATCCAATTTCCCTTGTAATAATTCTTTTTCATTATATATCTCTTCTACGGAGAGAAACTCAAGCAACGGAAAGACTAGATGCCGATCCAAAAAGTGTGTGATGCGAGTAGTCAAGTCGTACTCCGCCATCTTGCCAAGTAAAAAGGGCTGAAAAAGTTCTTAGAAGAAGCCAGAGAAAGAAAGACACTTTATAAACAGGGGACAGAGACAAGGATATTCAGACTTCTTGTCAGGGACAATGTAAGTCAGAAGAAAAGGAGAATGCATTGTCACGGTGCTGGAAGGGAAAAAAATGTCAAAGTAGAATTCTATATCTAGAAAAAATATCCTTCAAAAGTGAAAGCAAAATAAGACTTTTCATCTAAGAGACCTATACCATAAGAAATGTTTAAGTAAGCCTTTCAGGTGGAGGCAAATGATACCAGTTGGAAACCTGGATCTATGTAAAAGGGAAGAAGAACATCGACGTGGTGAATGTGTCTGTAAAGATAAAATATATGTTTCCCTAACTTAAAATTTTCTTTTAAAGAGAATGGAATGTTTAAGGCAAAAATAATAACAATGTATTATGGGGTTTATTATGCATGTAGAAGTAAGATGTATGGCACAAAGTGCATTAAGGACCCAAAGGGAGAAATGGAAGCATACTATTATAATGTTCTTAGGTTATACATTACAAGATATATCATGATTTGAAAGTAGACTGTGATGTTAAAGATACATATTGAGAACTCTATACCCCACTCCACCAAAAAAATAAAGCAGCAGCTATTGATAATAAGCTAATAGAGAGAAAATAGAATGTAAAAATACTAAATCCAAAAGAAAGCCATGAAAGAGGGGGAAAATAGCAGATAACCCAGTAAAAAACAAAATAGTTAAGATAGTAGACTTAAATCCAACCATATCAGTAACTACATTAAATAAAAACACTTTAATTAAAAGTCAGAGATTGTCAGACAGGATAAGAAAGCAAGACCCAATTAAACATTGCCTCAAAGAGATCTAATTTAAATATAAAAAAGGTTAAAATAAAGGAATGGAAAAAGACATACTATACAATATTAATAATAGGAAATCTGAAGTGGCTCTATTAATATCAGACAAGGGGAACTTCAGGATAAAGAATATAACCAAAGAAAAAGAGGGACACTTCACAATGATGCAAGATCAATTCATTAAGACATCACAGCTGTGTATTCAACTAAATGTGTATTCACAGAGCTTCAAAATACACAGAGCAAACACTGAAAGAACTGAGAAAGATTTCAAAATCTACAGTTATGTGTGATTTTGAAACTAAACATGGTGGGGTGTTTTTTGTTTGTTTGTTTTTTGTCAACAAATGGTGATAGGAAAACTGGATAGCCACATGCAAAAGAATGGAGTTGGACCTGACACCACATACAAAAATTAACTCGAAACGGATCAAAGACCTAAATATGAGTTAAAGTTATAGAACTTTAAAGGACAGAGAAAAAACTTCATGACACTAGATTTGCATTGGTTTTATGGATATGACACCTAGAGCACAGGTAACCAAAGAAAATTAGATAAAGTGGTCTACATCAAAATGTAAAACTTCTGTGCATGAAAGGATACTATCAACAGAGCAAAAAGGCAACCTACAAAATGGGAGAAAATACTTGCAAATTATACATCTGATCAGGTACTGATAACCAGAATATATAAAGAAGTCTTACAACTCAATGGTAAAAAAACAAACAACCCAATTAAAAATGAGCCAAGAACTTAGATAAATATTCCTCCAAAGAATATATACAAATGGTCAATAATCCATGAAAAGATGCTCAACATCACTAATTATCAGGGAAACCCAAGTCAAAACCACAATGAGATACCACTTCACACCCATTAGCATGGCCATTTAAACAACAACAACAACAACAACAACAAAAACAGAAAATAACAGATATTGGTGAAGATGTGGAGAAATTGAAACCACCATGCATTGCCGGAGGGAACATAAAATGGTATAGCTGCAGTGGAAAACATATGATGATTCCTCCAGTAATTAAACACAGAATTACCCTGTGATCCAGCAATTCCACCGGAGAATGGAAAGCTGGGACTTGCATAGATATTTGTACACCCGTGTTCATAGGAGCGTTATTCACGAAAGCCAAAAGGTGGAAGCAACCTCAACGTCCATCGTTAGATCTGAGTAAACAAAATGTGGTAAATGTGGTACATACAGCAGAATAGTATCGAATCTTTTTAAAGAGGGAAATTCTGACATATGCTCCAATGTGAACAAGCCTTGAAGATATCATGGTGAGCAACATAAGCCCGTGTGGAAGGAACACAACCTCTGATTCCACTAATGGGAGTACTAATCACGTTCACGGAATCAGGAAGTAGAATGGTGGTTTTCAGGGACCAGGAAGTAGAATTGTGGTTTTTCAGGGACCAGGAAGTAGAATGGTGGTTTTCAGGGACCAGGAAGTAGAATGGTGGTTTTCAGGGGCGGGGAGGAAGGGCAGAGGGGCATGGGGAGTTAAGTTAGTGTTTCATGGGTACGGAGTTTCAGTTTGGGAAGATGAAAAAGTTCTGGAGAGGGATGGTGGTGCTGATTGCACGACACTATGACTCTACTAATGCCCATTGAAGCGTAGGCTCTCAAATGTTTAAGATGGGAAATTTTATACTCCGGGTGTGTGTGTGTGTGTGTGTGTGTGTGTGTGTTACTACAATAAACAAAGAAGAGAAGGGAGGAGGAGAAGGAGAGAAAGCATTTGAAAAGAAAGCCTCCATATATTTTTGACTGAGATGATTAAATTTCTTTCTTTCTTTCTTTCTTTCTTTCTTTCTTTCTTTCTTTCTTTCTTTCTTTCTT